AGAGGAGTGGGTTGCTCGGTCCGAAGAGCAAAGTCTAGATCCATGCAACCAAGAACAATCAATATGTTCTCCTTCCAATCCGTGAAGTTTGTCCCATTAAGTATGGGAATAGAGTTAATATTGGCAGATATAGTAGCAGATGAGCTAGCTGTAGAGAGAACAAAATAAAATAAATGATTAATTATGCTCGATTTAATATCCACATTTAATAATTGATAAATCCAAATAATGGTAAATATCATCTCAAGATACCTAGTGCAACATCAACATCAAGTCTTTGGACAATAATATTAATTGCAAGTGGTACTCTCAGTGTAGTGATCAAACATTGACAATAACTCCTGTCAAATAATAAACCCATCTTTGGATTGATTTATTATTCACATGAAAACCTTATAATTGTCACACATTCATCACCACAAGTGTGTATGTAATTCGGTCAGATATTAACCTTCCTTTGGGCCGGCTAATTTCCGCATGAAAGACACTCACACAACATCCAAGCATCCTAAACAAAGCAATCTACACAAAAGAGGTCACTTTGGTGACATATTGTTTCAATTAGTTTACTTAAAATGCTAGACAACCTTAAGTTTTTATAAATGATTACCAAAATTTTGAATTAGATTGTCCCAATTAATTAAACTTTAATTAATACCTTTCAAAGAAGTATTAGTACCGAAATTTGAGAAAGAGAAACCCCAATTTGCATCAATAGATGCCTATGGAAACTTTAAGGACCTTAGGGTTAATAATTCAATACTTTAGGGGGGTTAAAATTAATTAATTATGAACATTGAGAGCTTTAATTGCAAAATTTAGAAGTTAAATGGCCCAAATTAATTAATTTTCAAACTTAGGGGGGCTGAATTATTAAACCCGTAACTTAAAAAGCCCAATAGGATGAATTCTAAATTACAGGGGCTGAATCCTTAATTTTTTAACCTAATTAATAATTGCAAGCAGGTCCCCGAAATTACCCAAATTGCACATGAAGCCCCCGTCCCCAAAATTCACCCAGAACCGAATTTTTTTTTTAATTCTCTTTCTCCTACTACAGTGTCGGCGCAGCCTTGCACCGGCGCCACAGGCAGCAGCAGATCGCTGTGTCGCTGCTAGGCAGCAAATCGAATTTTATTTTTTTTATACACAGCAACCTAGCAATTTCTCAAAATCCAAATGTTCTTCCCGTATGAAAGCAAACCGAAAACTCAAATTCACCATAGGATGCAGGAATTACAGTTGAGGATTCCAAACAAACTGGTTCTATATCTTTATCCATGTCCCAAAACTTAAACCATTCGTATAAGAAAAAAATAAGAACTGTAAAATCACAACCCATAATTTGATTTCATGGCATAACATCACTGACCAACATATGCAAGTAAATTCGATTTTCAAAAAGTTAAGTAGGAAATTGCAGTGCCTTATTTCTCATATAGTTGATCCAAATATCATGCCAGATTCTTAATAATAACGTGAAGAAGATCAAATAACCTAAAATTTCTCAAAGATTCAACAATGAAGTGGCTCTGATACCACTTGAAAGAATTTAAATCCAAATTTCTAGATTTGAAAGGAACTAATAATCCAATTTTAATCCTTTCATAAATTTATCCACGTTGAATCAAAGAGAACAAATTGAAAGCGGAAGCGTACCTTGATCCATGATTGTAATTGATTTTGTTCGGATTATGATCTTCCAATTGATCCGTGATTTTCCTTAGAATTCTTTGAAAAAACTCTCTTTTGATGGGGATACAGATGTTATGAAAAAATCACGTCAATTGGGGACCATGACCCCATGATAAATAATTGCTAGGCAGTTATCATCTTTTATTTGTTTTAAATTGGCCCCCATCAATTTAAAACAACTACCCGATTTCTACACTTTAATCCCATAATAATTGATACACATTAGTCTAAAATTAAATTCATTGGATCACTTTAATGGACTAAAACTATAAGATAGCAACACACTTTAATCATATACATGTGTGGCCCCAATTGTTAAAATTTTTACAACATACTGTTCTTATTACTTGATCTTGAGAGGTGATTCATGGATAAAAAATGGTGTTATTGTGTCTTCATAGAAATGTTTTATGTTAAAAATGTATATAAAATTGTGGGTAATTAAGTAATTCTACTTAGCGTCATTTAAGTAACCAAAAAAATTAATTAAAATTATGACGTAATAAGTAAATTTTGTGGTAGACTCTAAATTTTGTGGTAGACTCTAGACTGAATAAAGCTCCATGTATAAGAAAAATTTAACAAAATGTGCACGGAACGGATGCTAACATGCCAAAATGTTATTAGATTGTTTTTTCTTTTTGTCCCATCTTCCAATGATATCACGTCATGTGTTGTCTGTAAGAATTTTCTGTCAAAAAATTTTGTACCATCTTTCAATGATGCCACATCATATATTGTCTATAAGAATTTTGTGTCAAAAAATTCTATACTTCTAACATGATTGCTCCAAAATCTTGTTGATTGTTGACAACTACCAAGGCAAGATCGAGAATTAAGAAATAAAGAATCAAGATTAGTTTCACACACTGGTCGTGTAAGTTGGAGATATTTTTGCAAATTTTTCTTGTGTATTACAATTCATAGAATAAGATTTAACAAAATTTTAGTTATTCTCCTTCCACTCTTCTTGTTTATACGAATTTTGACATCGACAATATTATTTTCTCAAAACGGTACTTGATTGTTGGATTTTGACCTCAACAAATCTTGATCCAAGTTGTCTTTGATACTATTCCGTGATTATGAAAAACCATCATGAAACCTTAATTTTATATCATTGAGAGCAATTGAAACGCAGTAAAAATAAAAACATTAAAAAAAAAAATAGACACACACGATAACACACAAATTTTATAGAAGTTCTCAACACACAAAATTTATAAAGGATTGTCTCAATTTGAGATTGCATTCTCTTCCACAATTAATTCACTATAGTGATTAAAAGAAATTCACGAGAGAAAATTGCACAACATACATCTCAAACATCTATATCTCTTTTATGATGATAATACTAAAACTTAATGACGGATCCCTATTTACAAATTAGAGCAATATCGAAATTGTCAGTGTGAAATTTTTAAACTGTTTTTAATGAAATTATGTTGATTCATATAATGACTTCACACAACAATAATATTTAGACCCTAGCACTTGACACATTCATCATGTTACGTCTCTTCTAGCGAGGCTCCAGAAGTGGCCACGTGACAGCCACACGGTAAACGAACTTAGATCCACGCTCCATGTCATTATGTCCATGTGGCAATTTAAGTCAAACCCCTATGAAGATGTCGAACCCATGTGTGGGGGCCGAACTCATATGGAGGGTCAAAACCTCATGGACAGGTCGAAGCGAGGCACTTAGAGGTGTTGTAAAGGATCTTCCTAATAAAGATCTTTTAAGATTATTGATGTGACGATTCACCATAGCAGCCACTCTACTATCCCCGGTTTAGCCCCATTAAAATTATAATCAATTTTTGTCTGTCTTCTTATGAGCCACACATTCTTTAAAAAAATTTCCTCTTTTTTAAATACACTTTCTTAACAAAATGCTATTCCAAAAATTATAATATCAAATAATGAAGGCCAAACGGGCGCTAAGTCAACACGTCAAGTCTAATCCCTATGACCAAGGCCATAGAACTGCAAATCATTCGAGACCATTAAATGTGCTTGAGCCTAGAATCAATTGAAAGGCGCTTATGACAAGATGTTTCGATCATTAGGATGAGGTCGCGTGTCTTTTCATCCAACAGTTAGTACTTTCTCTCTCCTACTTAGGGGTGGAGCCAAGATTGCACTAAAAAAATTTCGATGCTGGACTGATATTAAAAAAAATAAAAAATTGCACATAAAATTTTATTTTTATATAATAATAAATAAATAAAAACTACAAGAAAAAATGTGAATTGGGCCTAGCCATCCTAGGCTATAGACCAAACCAGCCAGGCCCAAAATTCGCCTCTGCTCCGATTATAAAAACTCACACTTAATTATAAACTTGCTCTATCTCATTATTCTCTCTACCCTCACATCCTAATTTGAATCCATTTTTCTTAGTGCTCACAAATTTAGCACGTCCCACACTCAAATATTCATATTTTTTCAAACTAACATGGTCGTCAGAGTGCTCACTCACGACTGCCTTTTACACTATTGAAGAAGGTCACGTGCTTTAATGATTTATTCAAGTGTTCAGAGAGAAGCTACATGAATGTGAGCAGGAGTCAAAAATTGACCACGTCCTCTTAAAAAAATCGGGATCAACATATCCCAAGAAGATAAAAGAGAGCGCCTTTCTAGAAAGATGGAGCATAGGTCTATATAGATCCATAGTTCCACGCCCTAGAGAGCCTAAAAATTCCAGAGCCTCATGTGTGGCCTGTAGTGAGGATTAGAAAACAAATTAAAGTAGCCGAAGATGAGAAAAAGCCACATCATTGCTTTTGTTTTTTCAACTCTTTTGGTGGGCATTGATTAACCCACCTTCAGCATTCGTATAATCATTGCACGGAATTAAAAACAAGAAATTGTATTTGTTGGGCTTGGTGGAGTTATGATACCGGTCAAATTTTGTAAACACAATTGCACATCACGTCATTAGAGTTCCCTATCTAATTATTACTCTTTTTATTAACAAGGCATGCCAAATTGCAGTTACAGTCCTAACCCTTGTCTTCTTTTATAGTTTTATCTTGGACACGACGAATCTCATGCAGCGGGTGTACATAAGAGGTCATGGACCATCTCGAGAAGGTGTTTTCTAAACCGTTTTAGCTCGTTATTTTAGCACAATAGTTTTTGTTTATGATTTCATTCTTAAAAAAATTGTACTCTCTATAAATATGCAAGTGATTCAATTTTAATTCACAAATATATGGATATAAAATATCATCATTATTGCTCTTGAGATCGTTGATAAATTCTAAAACATCATCGTTGCAAAGAAAGAAAAGGACTAAAAAATAAAGCCAATTGGCTACTCTTTACTAATAAGCTTACGATACAAGAGGGTGCATTTCAAGAAACTTGATGTTGTCAAATATGGGGAAGAGATTCAAGACTCACATATTCAAAACGACAATAAAGCACAATGTAAAAGTTCCCCACCACGTGAATAAAGAAGATTCCTTGCACCAAACCCCACATTATTTCCTCCTTCCAATTACCAAAAAATATTATACTAAAATCAAAATAATGTTATTAATTTACTTTGTCGCAATTGATTGAGGGTTGTTTTGTTGTATTGAAGTGGAGATTTCGAGGATTGATTCAAAACTATGTCATAAAATTCTTTTCAAGAAAAATGGAAATATAATTCACGGGAAATTTCTTCTTTGAACGAATTCACAGTTGAATATTCATGAAGAAGGAGAATATTTTTGAAAACAAAAAAATAAAAATAAAATATGCGTAAAAAACACATTTCAGCTAGGGTGAGACCGGCTCGAGCCAGGCTGGTCAGTTGGACCACCAGAAGCCGCAGCCCCGCTGGAAAAAGAAGAAGAGCCGCCAGAAACAGAAAGCAGCTCCGTCAAAGCGCTCATGGCTCGAATTTGCATTTCAAGAGCTGGTATATAATCACTAGCCTCCTCTAAAATCACCGGTAAAGGCTCTTTCCTGCAACCGGGAACCAACCGACCGAGAATGCGAACTTTCCGGTTAACCGCTGGTAAACTCTTTGATTTCAAACGGAAAATGCTCACTTTTGATTTCTTCTTTGGCCGGCTCTTCCCGGTGGTAACCACCATCACATTTCTCTGTCGTTTGGTGATGTTATTCTTCTTGAGAAACTTGAGCTTGAGCCGATTAGTGAGAATCGCGCGGCTCCAGCGGGAGCGGCCTTTGCCAGTGGTGGCTAGTACTCTATCGGCGGCTTCACGGACAGCTCGGCCGCGCTTTGGAGTGGTGGTTTGAGATTGTGAGCCGTTGAGCCGAACCTGGCGCAGCGCTTGAAGCAGCTTTGATGAGTAAGTATGTTGCTGAGATTCAGATTTCCATTCAATTGCAGAATTTTGATTCTGATTATTATTCAAATTATCTCCATGGATTTGGCTTTGGATTTTCTTCTTCTTTTTTCTTCGAACCAATGATCTCTCGGAATTCACAACTGGATTTGAAGGCAGCGATGAAGTCATTTCTACATCCATCTGCTCTGTCTGATATTCTGATTGTATATTTTTATTCAGGTACCGAAATAAGACCTATAGATTCAATACTTTTAATTAGAATCGAAAGTAGTGGCAGATTCAAATTCAAAGAAAGCACGAATGAAATTCAATATGATTGATAATCGATAATTAAGAATTTGGCAATAATAAACAGATAATTTACGGTTTAGAAACCTCGCTACAAATGGTAATTCCGAAATTACAGTTACGAATTTTTCAACAAGGAATTACTAGAACTAATCAGATTCGGCAAAAGCCTCCAGCTACACATAGATCTCATTTGCACACACTATAGTTTTATACTTTATCATCAATGAAAAAGAAGAAAAAACTCGAAATGAATCTGAATATGCAAATATACAAAAATTAATTGAGATGTTATAAACTTAACGTGAATCATCAAATTGATCATCACCTTTACAAATTAGAGAAACTCTCCGAAAACTATTCTTAGGTAGTGGTTGACGATGGTGGTGGAGGAAGGAAAAACCGCGAGGAGAAGTGGAAGAGGAGGCTTTAAGGGGATCACCAGAGAGCATGCGAAGGCTTTATGGGGATCACCGGAGAGCATGCGGAGGCTTAAACTGAATGAAAGTGTATATTGGGAGGGAGTGTGTTGGACAAATAATTAATGGCTTTTTCTTTTTCCAAAAAAAAAAAGGTATAACAGTGCCTTTTTGCGCCATGTGGTGGAGAGGGCCCGATTCACATGTGCGCTATCTGTCTCCGTCTCTCCTGACTTCTATTTTAAAATTTTCTTTTCGTTTTGTCTTTTGAGAAGATAATTGTTTTCTTTTCGATATACGGGATATAGCCTCTATTTGATGGGAATTAAAATTAAAATTTTAGAAGATTTTAATAAAATTTAATGGTATGTGTGGTTAAAAAATTATGAGATCTATAAAAGATGTTGTTAAAATTGATTGTTAATTTTTACTTAAAAATTCAAATCTAAATTTTAATCATAACCAAACAGAAGTTATAGTGAAGAAAATTAATTAACGACTATTACATTTTCTTTTAGTTATTAGTCATTGAAATTTTGAGTTTTTATATTTTACATTTTAGTCTTATTAATATTATTCATCTAGAGTCTTTTTAGATATTGGACAATAGGGCACCTCATCGTCAGATTGTTCAGTGAAGTTAGAATATATTTAGTGTCTATTTGATTGCAAATATGAAATTTGAGTGGAAAGAAAATGAATTCTAGGGAATTGAATTGCCTAAAAATTGTTTTATTGGCAATTGTTAATTATTGTGTTTGATTGGTATAATTTTTCACACGAAAAATGTAGAAATAAAAGTGTTTTTTTGGTATTCGTTTGGCTTTATTTTACATGAAAATCATCAATTAAAGGGATATAATTTATTAGTATTGGGGATATAATTTGTTTCCGTTTTCCAAAAAAAATCAAAAAAATTATCTATCTTTTGGTATTCGTTTGCTTTGTTTTACATGGAAATTGTTAATTAAAGGAAAATAATTTTTTTACAATTAGGGATAGAATTTGTTTCCATTGCAAAATAAAAATAAAAATAAAAATAAAATAAAAATCAGCATCATAGCCTAGAAACCAAGAAAATGCCCGTGTGGTAAGAAAACCAGTTACCGGAAAAAATATGCTATCAAACAGTCAAAAAGTAAAAGTTGGAATTTGAATTCCATTTTCCATGGAAAATAATGTTCTATTAACTGAACCCTTAGTCATTGAACAATGTGGCATGGAGGATAGGGAGTCCACTACTATATAGATTGATGATCGTTTAAATTTTAGACGAATAGCATTAGTATATATAAAAATATATTTGAAAATTGCATTTTTATTTTTTTGGATGGGTTTCTAGTTCATTATTTTGTTTTAGTTGATTTTTTAACAAGCGTCGCTCTAATTCAAATAACTTGATTTCGCTAAAGCTTTTCATTGTTTTCGACGAATGTGCTATAATCTAAATTATCAAGCTTGATTAGAATAAGTTTTAATATTTGTGTGTCCATTGTGTATATATATATATATATATAGGGATGGCAATCGGGCTCGCCGGCTCGGGGCGCCCGT